ATACTACGCATCACCTCATATCTCACTATGTCGCCAATCTGTCAACGGCCACGTCTCTGCTTTCGTTGACGCGTTTCGTGAAACCGGAATGGTTACAAGAGGTTATACGACTCGGCAGTATTCCTGTGAATGACAAAGATGCGGATGGGATTTCCCTAGAGCAACATTTCATTTTACCATCCGAAAGCAAGTATAGGCCGGCATTCTCGCCTTCCCTACTGCCTTCACATAAGAAGTTCGGCGTTTGGGAAGCGAACGAGGCGAGAGTGAACTTCTTCAGTTCATGTCGATTCGTTTGCTTGCGTGAGAAGATCAGGGAATCGGACAGCGAACTCCAAGAGGCCATTCGACGGGGTGAAGGAGCATTCGAGAACTTTGACATCCATTCAGGCGTGACGAAGTTCCACCGGACTTTGACTCGAGGGCATGCGAAGGAGGGCAAGAAAGTTGTCGTGGTGGCGGATGCCGACTTGATGCAGGCAGCGGTGGGAGAACAAAGTTGGCGGGAATACATTTCTGAAGCTAAGAGGTGTGTTAGCAATTCGTTCCTCTATTTGAGGCGTCAGTTTAATCTAGAGACATTTAGCTTCAACCTTGAAATTCTACCTCCATCGCAAGTGGTTCAAGCGGTGCTGGAAGCCAATATTGATTTGCTATTTCCTTCGGTTTCCACTGATGCAGACAGTAACGCAGGCTCATGTAAGTCTATCGTTATTACCGCAGTTTAACTCTTTGCATATTGACGAGATACATGTAGCTCGGATTTTGTCGCCGCTTCCCGATGTTGTTCCCAACTCCATATCGGATGAGCCTTCGATCACCCCGGAAGAATCGGAAAGCCAAGCATCTCGTCGCCCCACTCGCCTTGTTCGTCGAGTAGCGCGTTCTGTTTCGCGTGAACCTTCCCAACCGCCGACTGTTGAACCAGAAAAGGTGGATGAGCCGGCTCCGTCTCGGCCTCGAAGAGTAAGACACCCGTCACTGCTCATGAGCGATATAGTTTATTCATGCCCATCCAGTTGATTCGGCGTGTTATCACAGGCCCTCCTATTATAACGGGCTTAGACGATCCGTCTTCTGTCATTGACGCTGTTCCCGATCTGCCGCCAAGGAATGCAACACCTCCGCGCGAGGGCTATAATTCTACGGTGCGCGATGACGTATCACTGTTCCCTAGTCTTTTCTTACCAGTTGATCAAGGCACCGACACCTGCACGTTCTACGAGGCTGAAAAGGAGAGTGGGAGTTGCGGCTCCGGAGGATCAAGCGAGCTCTATGTTATCTGGCATCGCGGAAACGATGGAAGAAGAACCGCCTCTCAAGAAGTTCAAAGCCCTTTTTGATGCAAGCCATCCGGACGGAGCGGAGTATGACTCTTTGGCTCCAGCGAGCCAAACGCAAAGTGATGCACTGTCCCAGACATTACGAAGAATAGATGCCTCGAGTCCGGCTGCATTCCGGGAAGAGGAAGAAGAGGAAGGGACACAGTCGGGCGTTCGCATGCCTGAGAGCCAACGGGTCCAGAAGCGAAGATTGGATTCTTTGACGGAGGATGTGGAGATGGAAGACGCTGAGCCTACACTCGCGCCCACGGCCGCCCAGCCGTCGAAAAGGCGAGCTATCGAAGATGTAAATGCTGTCGAAAGGGATCACGCTGCAGCCCCGCAACCCACCACTAAACCGCCTTCCACCCTTGCACCGAGCACGAAGAATCAGGGCGCCCCCACTGGTAAACCGGACACGGACGCCGCTTTTCTGAAAGCGATAGCGTCTACGAAACGCGGCAAGAAGGCCGAGGATGTATTCGATCGGGAGTTTAATCAGCTCAAGATATCCAAGCCCGAAATTGAGACGCGTCGTGAGCCAGAAGAGGAGTGGGGGGTGTTGGCTGAGTTTGGAGATGATTCGGGTTTGCGAGGTAATTTTATGACGATTGTCGAAATGGATCTGTATAGGAAGGATCTTCATCAAAAGCCTCCGCCTAATCAATCTTGGGGCGAAAAGCCGAATTTCAAGAAATTCAAAAAGGTATTTTGTTGGTTTACCAGACGAGACAGAGTATTCTAATAACTATCACGGGTTCTTAGAAAGGCACTGGTATTTCGCGAGCTAAAGTGGACGTTTATCCTAGTGACGAAAATGATTATGGGATGGGCTCAGGTAATTTGCATCTGTTCTACTTGATTTGTTTCGTTGACATAGTTCGCGCCTTGTTCTAGCATATTGGAAAAATGGCAATTCTCAAGCACCTGGTCAAACGCAGAATACCGTCTTCGGCAGCCAAGCACAGTCCCAAGCAAATGGCGCCATATTGGACTCTCAGGATGACTTTGAAACGCAACCTCGAAGCCGCGCCGTCCTTGATGACGACGACTTCAACTCACAGCCAGTCCCACGACAATCCCGACAACCGCCGTCTAGAAAAGGATCTGCTGCGCCGAAAAGGGCTGCAACCCGATCCAAGCAGGCGGCGAAGCCCGTGTCTGCGCTGTTTTTGGATTCTGACGACGATGTCCAGATCATAGAGGAAGAAGAGCAGGAAGAGCGAGTGCAGGATGTGGACCCGGATGAATCATCTACTTTGCGATCCACTGCTCAGCGAGATCCATCGCCTAAACGGCCAACTCGTTCCTCAAAGTCGAAAGCCAAGGTGGCGAAGCCTGTGATCATCGATGACGATTCGGATGATGGTATAGTGTTCAAAGGGTTTAAAGGACGAAAAGGGAAACACTAGGAGACCGGTTTTCGAGTTTGCTGAGCTTCCTTCGTGTGGGCGATCGGATTTAGGGATGGCTGGATTCTCGACACTGTTATCAGAGGATGCGACTCACTTGATTGACTCGGCGTGGTGGTTTAGATTTGGCCCCAGGCTAGACAGCTCTGTTTATACTTACCCTTCGATATATACCCTTTCCCCTTGGTTCTTCCTGGGACGCAAGTACAATGAGCAACCAATTTAGAGGCATGCCGCTTCCAGGTTTGAGTTCGTTGGACGGAGAGATTCGAAATGTCGGATTGTTATTAGGGAGGGACCCGCATTAAATAAGATGGCTCAGTATTGATAAGAGCTCTCACGGAACTAAGGGCTTAAGTAAAGTGAAAATGACCTTTTCCGTATGTTCGAGGCCAGCAGCGCAAATCTTTATACTACTTATCAATGATAATATTCGTGAAATCTCCATCATATATATGTGTGCATGTGAGAGCCCAATCCCAAGCCAACTCCAAACAATTTCCAAGCACCAGGTTGGCACTCCCAACGGACAAAAACTTCCTTCTTGCGTTATACGCAGCCGCCAAATGCTCTCCTCCGATGATACTTTGCGGTTATCTATGAAATGTAATCTTACGCGCGCGGCGGAATTTATTTTTCCAAAGTGGCCAGATTTCGAGTTCGGAAACGGCCAGACGCGGCCTGCAGGACGTGATATATCTTGCCAATCCGATACCAAAGGGATTTCTCAGACTCTTCCTCTTCCTCCCACATACCACTATACCCGACTTGCATTGCCAACATGTCTACTGCAGAGGTCAAAGCCGCCCGTCGCGCCAAGTTCGAGGGAGTGTTTGAGAAGATCCGCGATGAGCTGATTGAGCATTTCGCCGGAGAGGGTATGCCCGCCGAGGCGGTCGAGTGGTATCGCAGTGTATGTCTGACTGTACTGTTGCTCCATGGCGCGCGATCTCACATCTTATCTTTAGAATCTCAACTACAATGTGCCAGGAGGCAAACTCAACCGCGGCATGTCGGTTGTCGATACCGTGGAGATCCTCAAAGGGCGCACTTTGACGGAGGAGGAGTACTTCAAAGCCGCTGTGCTTGGCTGGTGTGTGGAGCTGGTGGGTTGTCTGCTGCTTTTTGTCGTCCCCGATCTAAATGGGTGATGAGTAGCTGCAAGCCTATTTCCTCGTCGCGGATGACATGATGGACGCGTCGATTACCCGCCGGGGACAGCCATGCTGGTATCGCGTCCCCGAAGTCGGCATGGTCGCTATCAATGATTCGTTCATGCTGGAGGCAGCGATCTACCGTCTCTTGAAAGTCCACTTCCGATCCGAGTCCTACTACGCCGATCTGCTTGATGTCTTCCATGAGACGACATACCAGACGGAAATGGGTCAGCTTGTCGATCTTATCACCGCCCCGGAAGATAAAGTCGACTTGAGCAAGTTCTCGCTCGAGAGGTGTGTTCTTTTCCTGCGTGCCATATCCAAACACTCGTTTACAGCGGTTTATGCAGGCACCGTCTCATCGTCATCTACAAAACGGCGTACTATTCCTTCTACCTCCCCGTTGCCTGCGCGCTGCTCGTATCGCGCATCCCCGAGACGTACACTGTGCCCACTTCCCCGCCGAGCACTGTCCGCCCGTATGACGTCGCTCTGTCCATCCTTCTTCCCCTGGGCGAGTACTTCCAGATCCAAGACGACTTCCTCGATTTCTCCGGTACTCCCGAGCAGATCGGCAAGATTGGTACGGATATTGTGGACAACAAGTGCTCCTGGGTCGTCAACACCGCCATCAAGCTGGCCTCACCTGCTCAGCGCCAGATCCTGGACGAAAACTACGGCCGCAAGGACGCGGAGAAGGAGAAAAAGATCAAGGCGCTCTTTGAGGAACTCGGCATCCGGGGGGTGTATGCTGAATATGAGGAGCGTGTCGTGGGCTCGCTCAACCAAAAGATCGATGAGATTGTGGAGGTTGAAGGAGGCTTGAAACGCGAGGTGTTCAGGAGCTTCTTGAGCAAGATTTACAAGAGGAGCAAGTAGAGGTTTTGTGCACAAGTCGTGAAATTTGAAAGAATATATATACCTTTGTAATTGAATGCATAACTCGCTAGAATGTATTGGATCTTTAGATGTGCTTCATATAAAAAGTTGGTACCATCCATGGCAAAGTTTTTCACATCCGATTCAGAGTCTTGACACTTGAAAGCTTGAACATTGAAAGTAAACCGATTCCGCAGGCGAAAATCCCCTACAACCATGGCCAAAAAATTTGATGAGAGCGAGATTCGAACTCGCGCCCCGGAGGACCAGATAACCTGGGTGGGCATCGAATGCCCTGGTCCTTAGTCTGGCGCCTTAGACCGCTCGGCCATCTCACCATGCATGCCCGAGCGTTGGGTGGCACTACAGCGGGCCGATGGTGCCGCCCCGCTGCAACGGAATTTTTTGGCAGAGCGACTTGACAGCGAGCACCATGATATCCTCGTCCATACGTACGCTCGTACGTCGGGCGTCTCTGGTGCCGCGCCGTTCCTTCTTCTCTTCTTCACGGCAACTACAAGCCGACGTGTTGAACGACCAAGTCGACAGCGGCGGGCTTTCACCCATCTCAAGAATCCGGAATATCGCCATTATCGCCCATGGTGGGTGACTTCACGTTTGCTCAGTCCGCAATGGTGTGCAAGGGCCATATTGCTAACGTTCTCTTACAGTTGACCATGGTAAAACGACCCTCGTCGACCAACTGCTACGTCAGTCTGGCACGATAAAACAACTTTCGGCGACGGAGCAGCTCATGTATTCGGGTGCATCCACCTCGTCCTCGACATCTTCGACCACCATGACGGCGGACAGCCAGATAGAAGACGGGTTTATTACGCGACTTATGGACTCGAATGACCTCGAACGCGAACGCGGAATCACAATTCTGTCCAAATGCACGAGCATCGACTATAATGGCCATTTAATCAACATTGTGGACACTCCCGGACATGCCGACTTTGGAGGAGAGGTGGAACGTATTCTGAGCATGGTTGATGGTGTTGCGCTCGTTGTGGACGCGACAGAGGGTCCTATGACGCAAACCCGATTCGTGTTGTCCAAAGCGCTTGCGCGTGGTCTCAAGTGAGTCCCTATAATACCCCGTCCGTTGTTGAAACTGACTTGCTTTAGGCCCCTCGTTGTGTTGAACAAAGCCGACAGGCCGACGTCCCGTCCAGTACAGGTTGAGAACGACCTCTTCGACCTCTTTGCGACTCTCGGTGCCAGCGATGAACAGGCAGACTACCCCCTTCTCTACGCCTCTGCAAAGCAAGGCTGGGCTCAGCCGGATCCTCCATCATTACCGACCGCCTCTGGTTCTCTCAACCCGTCTCTGGTCCCCACGTCTACGAGTATGACTCCGCTATTCGAGCTCATCATGTCCCACGTCCCCGCTCCCGTCCATCTCTCGCGCTCGGGACCTTTCTCGATGTTAACTGTCCAAATTGAGGCGGATCCCTACGTCGGTATGCTCTACCTCGGACGAATCCAATCCGGCACCCTTCGTATCGGTGATACACTACTGGCGCTCAACTCCGAAGGACAAAAGGTCGGTGAAGGCAAGGTGAAGAAGATCTTCGGCCGCAGAGGACTCGACAGAGTGGAAAAGGACGCTGCGGGAGCAGGAGAAATCATCAGCATTGCCGGCGTGAAATGCGTCAACAACGGTACGGGTGGTGGCGGCGGCGTTAACGTGACGCTTGTCCATCCCGAGGGATGGGGCCCAGAAGGCCCTCAGGCACTTCCGGTATGTTGAACCCGTTCTTTATTCGCGTCTAGTGTGTGCTAAAATTTGTACAGACCACCCCCATTGATCCCCCGACCATCTCTATCCATGTGCACGCGAACGACTCCCCGTTGGGTGGACGCGAAGGCACCAAGCTGACATCCCAGGTCATCCGCGAACGCATCTACAAAGAAGCCGAAACGAACGTCGCCCTGACCGTCCTCCCGGGCCCCACCTCCGAGTCCCTCGAGCTGCGCGGGCGCGGCGTCCTGCATCTCGGGGTGCTGCTCGAGACGCTCCGCCGCGAAGGCTTCGAGCTGTCCGTCGGGCCCCCCAAGGCCGTCATGATCCCGTGCCCGGCGAAGAACCCGGAGGGCAAGGAGCGCGGCGTCTGGCTCGAGCCCATCGAGGAGTGCACGGTCGTCGTGCGCGAGGAGTACGCGGGCGGCGTCGTGCAGAAGCTGACGATGCGCAAGGGGGATATGAAGAGCTACGAGTCCGGCGACCCGGAGGAGGGCTGGGTGCGGATCGTCATGGACGTCCCTGCCCGCGGTTTGATTGGCTACATGGCCGGCGAGTTTGGAAACGATACTCATGGACAAGGGTGCGTTGGTTGAAGGTTGTGGCCGATTCTGCGTGATTGACTGTGGTTTGCAGGACGATCAACCATATTTTCAAAGGCTATGAGGAATACAAAGGGGCTATCGATACTGGCCGAAATGGAGCGCTTATCTCGATGGCGTCTGGCGAATCTTCTGGGTATTCGATGGCTCCTCTTCAGGCCCGTGGAACTCTCTTCATCCATCCACAAACACAAGGTACGAGTGTCAGCTGTCGTCCGCTTCATTCTCGTTCTCACTTGTTTTGACTGTACAGTATACCCCGGCATGGTCATCGGTGAATCTTCCAAGACCACGGACCTCTATTTGAACCCGTGTATCAAAAAACAGCTCACCAACATCCGTGCCGCCGCCGCGGACGAAAAGATTGTACTGGCCAGTCCCAGAATTATGGGTCTAGAAGAGTCCCTGGCCTATATGGGTGATGATGAACTGATAGAGATCACTCCAACCAGTGTGCGGCTTAGGAAAAAAGACCTAGAGGCAGCAAAAAGAGGCAAGACAGCTAAAGCAACCGTGAAGAAGTAGGATGCTCCAACTTTATATATATATATATTATCTTAGATTTCGGGGGTACACTAGTGAGTTGCTATCATCGACTCCAACTTTTAAGATACACTACTGATTTGGTCTTGAGAACTTGATATTCTTTTTATGTTGATAATATGAGTATCAAGGTGGATTTACTTTGATTATCCCCTCTAGAATTGTAAAATTATTGTAATTCTCAGCTTGGTTATGATTAGTTGATCATATACCAATTAAGTAATTTCTTCCAATCCCACTCTTTATCAGTACAATACTAGATATCTGTCCCAGATTGTAGACTGGCATTAAGGGAATTGAATAGTTAGATAAATTTTTCTGAAAGATCACCAAATTTTATAGTGTAATTCAGAGAAACACCAGAAATATTGAGCAAATTTGTGCATACAGTTATTCACCCATCAATGACACATACTGGTCAACAACCCAAAGTCAAATTCTGAGCTCAAATCTTTGTAAAACCTTTTGAAATTTTAGAGATACACTACAGTACTATAGATGTACTGCTGTGTCGAATTAATAATTGTCTGCATGTCTGTGGCTCAAAGACTGGCTTTAGATATTGAGGAAGGAGCATATTTTGAGCATATTTTACTGACATTTTGAATATTGCTGGGCTGATCCTGATGAATTTTTGCTTTGATCTTTCTCTCTTATTCAAACTACTTTGTATGACACATATCTAATTCGCCTCTATCACAATGATAGATGGACAGTACATTGCCAATTGACGAAATACACAAATTTGAGCTTGATCAATGCATTTCACCATGTCATATCACGACTTGCCATTTTGGGATAAGCATTCTATTCTTGCTTTGCGCACTCATTAAGGCTATGTGACACTTGAAACATGGTAAACCACACAAAATCTAATGAGCTGAAGCACACAATAGCCAGAAAACAGAAGGACAACCTCATGGCCCAAGCCGTGGCTCTTTACAGATCCGAAAAAGAAAAAGGACCAGGAGAAATGGCCTTGTCATTGCATGCCATCTGAAAATCTGTCTCAAATGACTATTTTACTCAGACACAGATCTGCATCCCACTATTGTCCCACTACTGTAGTATTTTGGTTGATTCGGCCATCACAGGTCACAGGCCTCTTGGCCTGGCCACAATTCAGTTGGTTGTCCCATGTCACAGCGGTTCTGGCCACTGCAAAAAAGTGGCTGAAAGACCTCCAAAAAAAAATTTGCCCTGCGGATGCTGGTAAACCAATTTTTTTCAACTCATCTGAGCTTTTGGCTAAATTTTTTGGCTGAATTTTCGGCCAGTCCCAGGTCACCATGAAGTTGGCCACTTTCAAAATTGTGTCCAACTGGTCACAGGTCACACCCCTGGCCAAATCAACTGAAATACTAAGGTAGCTGTCGTCCATATACTGCGAAGCTCACGTGTTGTTACTGGCTGTGACATGGGCAAAGAATAAATCAGGAAAGTCTCTGTAGAATAGTCATTTTCTTCGAATCTAGAGTACTGCTCAAGAATCGGTTCAATAGCAATTCATTATTGGGACATTATTTATGCTCATGAGAAATTTTGTGCTTATCGGAATAGCCACTTACACCCGGAATGTCAATCAGTCGCCGGAAACGCACACGGATGTCAAAGAAGTGATTAAGATTGCTTAAACTCCGCGGAAAGAGATGGCAAACGTTGGGGTGAACGAATAAATAGTCTAGACAATCCCTTGCTTCTCCAACTACTCCATAATGTTCTCCGGTAACACTCGATGACCTCTGTACTTTCATGCAGCCTATGCAGCTTGTACACTAACACGGTACCCCATTTAATCCTCGATCATAGGCATCCATGAAGTTTGAACCGGCAAGATCACATAGCAAACTTCCTTATCATTGGAATTGGAATGCTTTGGAGTGACTTGACCGTGTTGGCTACAAGATCGTCTTCGCGCGAGGATGGCGGGTAAGTCTGATATACACTTTTGCCTGTCCCCAGCATTGCTCGATCCAATTCAGTTTGCAGTGGAACTTTGGAAGGCAGACAACTTCAACACCTCGGGAACGACAGTTGGTTTCGAGCAATGATTCCACCTCTGCAAAATCCGGTTGATTATAGAGCATCCGTCGGCAGCAGCATCTTGTCGCTCCAGGTGCACATTTGAAGTTTTTACATTCTACGGGCACCTTTGACTGTAACGGATGCTCTCGCAGCTTCCAAGTTAGCTTGGCGAGCAAGCGTAGCCTTTCTCTTCCGCCTGGACATTATGCGAGTATCAAAGACAGGTGTAGAATGAGCTTAGATGTTGTTGAAGAGTTTATCTGTTTAATCTCAACGTGTAATAATTTATTTTGGCAATCAGGGATCGAGTCTCTAAATAAATGCCTGGCAGGACGCGTTTCTGGGAAAGTCTTTCTATATTGAATGGTTCCTATTGACTAAATATCATATTATCATGGGAGGGAGCGCGTTTAACGCGCTT